GGCACAGGAAGGAGACAGGAACTGCCCCCGGTAGGAGGAGATGGGTCAGACTCCAGCAGGTCATTTGGTTCATTTGATGGGTACCATATCTCGCCCTCACGGCAAAGCCTGGCAAGCTACCCGTGGCGTATTCGATGTGCCAAACACAGTAACAACAAAGTCTCACGATGGAGACGTTACTGGGCCCACTCGAGAAAATCGTTGAACAACAGGAGGACAGTGACAGTGATCCCTAGTTGATGGATGGGATCCCTCACCTGGGCAGACAGAGAGACAAGTAAAGGCGAAGGAATAGTCTAAGTTTATTGGGGTGCGCTCCCGGGCGGCCCCTGGCGTGCCCCTGGGAGAGACGAAACGGGATTTTAAGTTGTCTTGGGCAGGACAAGGGAACAGAGACCGGTGGGGACCCGTGTGCGTGGTCTGGCCACCCTGTATCTGTAGGGGTGGATGTGAGGAAGCATGGAACGCAGCCTGGGGGCTTCCTGTCACCAGATGGGCCCCGAGTCCTGCACTCCGTGCCGGGGTCAGTGGGAGGGTCTCTGATTCGGGGGATATCACACTGGCGTCCGCTGTCCTGAGCAAACCCGACACTCATGGTGCTTAGAAACTGCTCCCCAGATTCAGGTGTGACTCCCAGCCGCACCACCGGGGCGTGAGGGGAGACCGGGGTGGGGAGCCAGGGGAGGGGTGGGTGCGGAGGCCTGGGGCCACCTGGCCGGGCCCCCACCACCGCGTCTGTCTTCCAGGTCATCGTGTGGGGCAACTACGGGCGGATGGAGCGGAAGCAGTTCATGGGCGTGGCCCGCGTGCTCCTGGAGGAGCTGGACCTGAGCACGTTGGCCGTGGGCTGGTACAAGCTCTTCCCCACCTCCTCCATGGTGGACCCGGCCACGGGGCCCCTGCTCCGGCAGGCGTCGCAGCTGTCCCTTGAGAGCACCGTGGGGCCCTGCGGTGAGAGGTCTTAGTGCCGGGGACGGCAGGGGCTCCCCCAGACGGCCTCGCCACCACCCAGCCCCCGGCCGGGGGCCCCCCGGCCCGGGGCCACCTCGGACAGAGGAGCACGAAGCGGAGCGGCAGGACGGGGAGATCCGCCCCCCTCGGGCCCCTCCTCACCCCTCCTTGGCCTCCTCCCCCCCCACCCAAGACACCCTCCTTCAGCGGGTCCTCGACCCGGAGGACGCGGCCGCTGCCGGGAGAAAGGAACAGACGGAGAGAAGGACCGAGGCGGCAGAGCGCACCCCCCCCCAAAATCCCGACTGCTCCCCTCTCCGCCTCCCCCGAAGCGCGCTGCCAGCCCAGACCCCCGCGGACGTCTCCATGGTGCCAATTACCAGCAAGTGTCTTTCCCGCGGCACCCGGTTCAGGGGCTACTCCTGCCCAGGGCCCCCGGGGCAGTTCTGCAAGGATCCGGAGCCGGCTCCAGGGCGCCCAGAGCCCCCCTCAACTGGACAAGGAGCTCGGGCCTCCCCTGCCGCCTGCCGAGTCCATGGCTTCCCCCCCCCCCACCTCTTTCTGGGCGGCTGGAGGAAGCAGGGAGCCGGCAGGGACCCAAGAAGAGGAGGAGGAGGGGGCGCCGGCTACAGCCTATGGGATGCCTGGTCCCTCGGGGTTGCCACGAGCTAGTTTGGAAACACCCAGCAGACCGGCGGGGAGCCCCCGCGTGTGTGTGGAGGACAGGATGCGGGGAACCTGAGCTCTTCCCCAGAACCTCAGCTCAGAGCCGGCCACCCCTGCCTTTTCGGGGTGCGGCCCGGAGAGCGAGTCTGGGAAGAGAGGCCTGGGGCTGACTGGACACCAAGGTGGGGGTTTCCTGGGCTGGAAAATCCCCTCCTTGTTGGGTGAGGTCAAGGGTCATCACATCTACACCGGCTGCCCCCTCCAGACTCTTGGGGTCCGGGAGGCAACTGAGCCCCCCTGATTTTAGTCCTTCTCAACATACCGTCCTGTCCCAAGCGCCCAGCCTCACTGACCGAGGCTCAAGGGCAGGTCTGGCCTGGGGCGGGGGGGACCGGCGGAGGGAGGCAGAGGCAATTCCCCTCCTTCCTAGACAGGCCTGGGCGCGGCCAGACAGACAGCCAGCCAGCCCCCGGAGCCCCTTTGCATGCTGGGGAGCTCGGAGGCCCCTCTTTATAGAAGCACATTTCTGCCACTTGGCCCCCCCGCCCCTCCCCTTCAGCCCCTCCTGCAGCGTGGGGACCCCCCCCAATCCTGGGTTAGGTGGGTGGTTAGGGCTTCCAGCCCCCCAGCCCTGTTCTGTCCACAGACATAGCCCCTGAGGGCCCCAGGTGGGGTGCCAGGGGATCCCCCACGTTGGGTCAGCCCTGGCCCAGGCCTGTGCACGCCTCCCCCCTCCCCCCGCCTCCTTTCACCCCTGTAGGGTTCTAGCTGAGCTCCCGTTCTACGAAACGTTCTGGTGTCTTGTCCTTGGGGCTGGATTTCTTGGCGAAGCACTCCCGAGGCTGGGCCCTGGGGAGGGGTCACGTTTGCTGCTCCTCTCCCCACCCCACCCCCACACACACTCCTGAAGCCCCTCTCCTGCACCCCTTCACCTGTTTAAGCCGCCGGGTCTCCCCTTAAGTTCTGGCTGGAGCTCCTGCCCCCTCTCCTGCTGTACTGGGGAGAGGGGTGCCCCTTTATCCGGGAGCGCCCTGGGGTGGGGGTCCTCCCAAAGTCGGGCCGAGGGAGCGGGCGGCTCCCCCCAGAAGCTGACTCTCCTCCGTTGCTGGCTTTGGGCCACGAGTCCCTCTGCTTGTACTCACCTTTGGGCAGACGTGGCGGCCTCCCACCGGCAGAGGGATGGGGGGGCTGAGACCATCCCTCTGCGCCCACACGGGCGTGAGGGAGCGAGCGAGGGCTTCAAAGCAATAACACCATCCTGGGGTGGTCTCCAAGGGCCCCCCAGCGACTCCGTTGTTTGTTCTGTGAAATCCCCACCCGTCTTCTGGAGGGCTGGGCCGGGGGGTGGGCAGGCACCCTGGCTCTCTGTGTTGTTGTTGTAAGCTTGTGCCCCCCCACCCCCGCCCCGCGAAGGGGCCCTGGCCACCAGCATGGAAACCCCGGCCTGGCCTCCGACGACGGAGGTCTGGGGAGCGGGCAGCCTGCTGTCACCATGTCCCTCGGGACCCTTGGAGCCCAGCCTGACGTGCCGCTGTGAACGACCCCCTACCAGCTCAGAGCCACCACCTGGGAGGAGGCAGTGGGTGCCGGGAGCAGGGTCTGGGGTCTCCAGGAGACAACCCTTGGCTCCCTCTGGGGGTTCCAGGCGAGGGAGTCCCTGTCCACTGTCCTCCTGAGGCTCTTTCCCACGCTGGGGGACCCTCTTACTTCTCTCTGCTGAGCCACCTAGTGGCCCGGAAAACCGGGGCCAGGCAGTTGGTACCCGGGGATGGGGGAGGCAGGAGGGGGGGGAGGCGGTACGCCACCATGGGACCCTCCTGTGGGGGCACAGAGGCCCCAGGCCACATCCCCCATGCCCCCTCCTCTCTTCGCCCATTCGCTCCCTCTCTGGGTTTGGCAAGACCAGCCTCTGCCTGGACTTGGACTATGGACCTGACCTTGTCCAGGGTGGGAGCTCGCGCCGAGGGGCTCTCACCCCTCAGGAGCACGTGGGGGTGTTCTGCACACAGGCTCCTTCCCCGGGGCCATGGGGGAGGGATGGCAGCGGTGCCCACCCCCCCACATCTGAGGGAGACCCTCAGACCTCAGATGAAATCATGCCTCCCATGCTATCATGCTTTTCAAACCCAAAGTGGGTTTCAGAGTGTTTCTATCTGGGGGTGCCCCCACCAGGACCCCCTGGGACGAGGGGCCTGGTCGCCTGCCCCCCCTTTCAAGAGGCTGAAGCAGATACCCACACCCCTCCATGGGAAGGCACCTTCAAGGGTCCCCCGGGAGATGGGACCTGAGCCCAGACTAGAACCGGTCCCAGCTGTCATCAGGGCGTGCCTGGCTCAGTGGCCCCCACCCCCACCGGCCAGACCCCGCCCCCCGGCTCCCCTTGTGTTCAAACCATCCTGACACCCACCCCACTCCCAGGAGCACTGTTGCACCAGGCCAAGACACCTGCATTTATTTATTGAGCAACAGATCCTTGCCCGTCCCCCACGTCCCGTCTCCACAGCCACCCTGCGGGTCACACTGAGCTCTCCTGCCCCTGAGCTCGGCAGACACAGACCCCGCGGGGGGGGGGGGGTGTTGGAACACGCCAGAGCTGCTGGCAGAGCTGCTGGGGGGACAGGTCCAAGACGAGCTGGACCCCTCTCCTTTGGGGGCTGCCGCCGGGACCCCGGGTCCTCTCTGTCACCCCCTCTCCTCCTCATTCCCTGTCGGGGCAGGAGCCGGGGGTTGGAGGGAGGGGGTCCAGCCCGGATGGGGCCGCGCTCCACGTTGCATCGCGTTCATGACCATGTAGCTCATGTTGAAGAGTAAAGTTTTTGGCTTTTCTAACCTGCTGCTTTGCATGGAGTCCATTCTAGCGGGGGCAAAAAGCACAGGATGTTGTGGGGGGCTGGAGACTCCAAGGCCAGACAGCAAGCTCCTCGTGGCTTCCCGAAAAGCAACTGCATCCAGGTGGGCCCCCCAAAAAATAAATGACCCCCAAAAAAGGACTGGCAAGGACAGAGCAGCCGCTTTGGGGGGCTGTGGGTGTGCCTCACCCCGACCTGCCGGCTGACCCCCTCTATCAGACCTTGCTGAGGGGGTTCCAGGATGGCACCTGCGGCTTTCCGGGACCCCCCCCCGGAAAACCTACCCCACTCCAGCCACAGGAAAACAGCCACTTCCAGGGTCACCGCCCCAAAGAGCCTGTGAGGGTGGCAGGAAGGGACCCAGCTCTGCAGGCAGGCGTTTTTGAGTCTTGCTAATGCGGAGGGTGTGACCTGCATGTATTCTGGAGAGCGGGGAACCGCAGATGGAGCAGGAGAGAGCAGCGGGCGGGGCCAGGCAGGCCACCACTCTCCGCTCTGCAAGCTCAGGGGTCCGCATGTCCACTGCGGGGGCGATCAGATGGACTTCCGCCTGGCTGGGGGCCCGCAGCGCCTGCCCCCACACCCCCGCTTGGGGCTCACGGGGGGCGAGAAGCCCAGATTGTCGCGGGCCCCCAGCTCCCGCTGCTGGACGCAGTAGGAGATGGACGGGGAAGGCCGGGGCCGGGGGTACCGGCCCGGGGGGCGCTCGGGGCTGTCGGCGCTGGCCGCCAGGAAGCGCAGGACCACGAGGTTGAGGAAGGCGCCGATGACCGTGAGCCCCAGGAGGATGTAGAGGAAGCTGAAGGCCACGTAGGGCGGCTTGCGCTGCAGGGCCTCGTCGCTCTGCAGCGCCACGAAGTCGCCGAAGCCGATGGTGGTGAGCGTGATGAAGCAGTAGTAGTAGGCGTGGAAGAAGGTCCAGCCCTCGAAGTGCGCGAAGGCCGCGGCGCCCAGGGCCAGCGTGGCCGCGCAGCCCAGCAGCCCGGCCACCACCATGTTCTCCGTGGACACGTGCGGCCGCCGCAGACCCAGGCCGCGCTTGGCCGCCAGCAGCAGGCGCCGCACCAGCGCGTTGAGCCGCTCGCCCAGGCTCTGGAAGGTGACCAGCGTCAGGGGGATGCCCAGCAGCGCGTAGAACATGCAGAAGACCTTGCCCGAGTCGGTGCCCGGCGCGGCGTGGCCGTACCCTGCGGGGACGGGGTGGGGGGAGGGGGTGGGCGGTGAGCACCTCCTCGCGCCCTCCTGACCAGCCCCAGAACTGCCGGAGGGGTCCGGAGGGCGGGTGCTGGCAGGGGTGGAGGGCACTCAGCTGCCTCCCAACCTCGTAGGGGAACCCAGAGTCGCCCCTAAAACTGCACACGGCCCACGTGGCCCTGGACTGGGGCAGCGGTGGATAAGCCACCGCAGTACCTGCTGGCACAGTGGACGCCCCACAGCGGTGGCAGGAGGTGACAAAGGAAGAAGGGGGGAGGGGGAGGATTCTGCCGGGTGGGTGGCACCTCCCCGGGCACACACTGCCGGGTCCCCTTTGGGTGACATTCTGGGAGCATCCCAGGAGCCCACCAGACGGTCCTTCGGGCTGGTGGAGGCGCCAGCCACAGAGGGACGTGGCTTGGGGCAGGGGGTGCTGGGAATGTTCCACGTCTGATGAGGTGGTAATTAGGAGACAAATCTATAGGGGCTGAGAGGTAGATCAACAGGCAGAGCACAAGTTTCCTAGGCAGGAGGCATCCCGGCACCCCACGTTCCATCCCCGCACCCCACATTCCACCCACACACCCCATGTACCACCCGCACACCCCACATTCCATCCACCCCACGTTCCATCCACACACCCCCTGTCCTACCCCCGCCCCCCCACGTTCCCTCTCAGCACCCCGGTCTCATCCCCAACACTCCATACTCCCACCCCTGCCCTGTGCTCCATCCCCAGCACCCCACCGTTCCCAGAGCAACACCGAAATGACCTCAAAATTAACATATGTCTACAAAGTAAGGAGATGTTTCTTTTGAAAAACTCACTGGAAAAGTGAAATTTGGGGTGTGTACATAACGTCTTAATGAAGAGGAGGGCAGGGAGGGAAAAGTCTCCCACAGCCCCCAGGACTCAGGGCTGCGTCTCAGTGGCGCCTGGGCTCCCTTGCACCCTACACACACACACACACACACACACACACACACACACACACACACACCCTTGCTCGCCTCTTCCTAGCCATGCACACTGCCACCGTTTCTCCTGCCAGCATCCCTGCCCAGGCCTCTGGCTTGCTCCAGGCCACGTCTACCACCCAGGGAGTCACTCACGGGCCTGGGCTGGGCATAGCTGGACCCAGGCCTCAGAGAGGATTCTGGGAAGCAAGCTTGGCTGTGAGGAAGCAAGCACCCACTTTGTCACAGGAGACCCAGCCCCAGGGACCCATGCCCCTCCTGCAACTTAAGGGGACTGTCTCCTTGAGCCTGGCATAGTCCCTTGGGCCTTCAGGGGCAAAGTGACCATGTGTGCAAGTGGCCACTGGAGCTCACCCACCAGTGCACAGTGGAAGGTCCTGCGTGTCCCTGCTAAGCGGCCTGGTGCAGTCAGCAGCCCTGCCACCAGCAGGGGCTGACTGTGCCCTTCGGGGCTGTCTTCACTGCCAAAAGGTGGCATGCTGCTGGCATCCCGTGGGCAGAGACCACGAATAGTGCTGACCCCTGTCAGAGGCACAGGACAGGCCCGAACTAAGACTCGGCGAGTCCAAAATGTGGGAAGAGGTAGAAAGGCCCGGCCGAGGGGCTCAGATGACCCTCCTCGGTCAGGACCACTAGGAAAGCATCGCCCGGGTGCACTCTGGGACGAAAGCAAGAGACAAAACCGTGTGCATAACATGATGCTGTGGAGTGCCGACGCATGTCCGTAAAAGGGGCCGGGCGGAGCAGGCACCCAGAGCACAGGCAGGAAACCGTTCCCGCTCCTCGGTGCAGGCAAAGGGACCGATGGTGCGAGGGGAGGGGGATAGGGGATGTCCTCTTTGTCCGGTCCCCTTGGTACCCTGTGACGCATGTGCCATGAGCATCTGGAACTCATCCCCGAGGTCAAGAGGGGGGCTGGGTGGGGGGCTCATGTGACAGGCAACATACAGCATGTTTGCAAAGGCCCGTGGCTCCGCCCACACTTCCTTCTGCCCAGACTGAAGTGAGGAGTGGGAACAGGCACGTGGGGTACCCTAGCGGTCACCTGACTTAGGCCAGCGAGGATTAGAGGGCAGATATTCGGTCACACTTTACAGACAAGGAAATCAGGCCACAGGGCACCCCTCACACTGCGGCTACCCCTGGCCGCTCCACCCTCACCAGGGGCATGTGGATCTCCTCAAGGTTGATGGTGCTCAGCAGTGCCCCCTGTCGGTGCTCAGAGGATCAGATGCACCGCCTGCGGTGGTCACATGCAAGGCGAGTGCCCCAACCTCACCAGATGCACACCACACAGACTTACACAGCCAGCACACAGAGAAAGTGTCACAGACGTGACAAGGATGACAATCATGTGAGCCCTGGGGGTGGGGCCACTACTGCCCACAGTCCCTTCCCCAAATCCCAGGGGCCGGTTAGCAGGCAACAGCCAGGAGAGGTGGCATCCGAAGTGTGAGGTGGGGGAGGGAAGAAGTACCCCAAGGAGGGGTTCAGGCTGATCCCCAGATAGGGGCACTGGGATGCCGGGGTGGGGCGTGGGGCGGAAAGGGGCAGGAGGAGGGAAAACAATGGAACGATCAATTCACAAATGATTAATGAGGGGCTGGAGCAATGGCACAGCGGGGAGGGCGTTTGCCTTGCACGCGGCCGACCCGGGTTCGATTCCCAGCATCCCAGATGGTCCCCCGAGCACCGCCAGGAGTAATTCCTGAGTATAGAACCAGGAGTAACCCCTTTGCACCACCCAAAAAGCAAAAAACAAAATGATTAACAAATGGTCAGCTGATAACTCATTGAGCTTCAGGCCCCATGCCAATCCTTAAACATGCTCACGAGACCCGTCCACCTAACAGTGGGGCAGGACGGGCCCTGGGCAGTGGAGGGGTCCAGGCTCCCGGAGGCATGGCTGATGCCAGAGAGAGCCCAGGAGGCCAGAGGGGTGAGAACTGAGAGACAGCCCGGAGCTCTCCCGGACATTTCACCCCCAGCTCACATGCACGCATTCGAGCCCTGGTTAGAAATTTCCTCAGCTGGCCCTGGATGCCAGCCCACAGCTGGCCGGGGGCTGGCTGGCACCCAGCAGGAGCCCGGTGGAATCTGCTTCCCTCCTTCCTGCTCCCCCCCCCAAGCTCCGCAGATACCTGCCAGACAGTAGCTATGGCAACAGCTGGCACTCCAGATGCTGCCAGCAAGTGCTCTGGATCACGCAGGGTAATTAGTCATTCCTCCAACAAATATTTATTGAGCATCTACTAAGCGCAGGCACTGGCCATAGTACGGTGCCGAAGGCAGGCTAGGTCTTGTCCTGGAGGAAAACTGAGCGACTGTCACGATACAAAAATCAATCCTGGGGCTGGGAGCTTAGCACAGCGGGTAGGGCACCAGTCTTGCACCCTGAGGACACCCAGCTTTCATCGCCGGCACCCCATGTGGTCCTAGGAGCCTGCCAAGTCCTGAGCACTGCTGAGTGTGACCCCAAACAAGTGAAAACAAGGGGGAAAAAAACCAAATCAGACCTTCTCTTTTTAGTGCTTTCCACGTGTCAGATCCTGTGCTGACACTTTCTGCGTGCAGTCTCCTGGAAATAACGATCTCGCAGCCCAGCATCAACCTCTCCCTGAGACGCCCGGAGAGGTTAGGCGCCTTGTCTGAGGCCCCACAGCCGGAGAGAAAGCAGCTCGGCAGGAATGTAACGGGAGCCAGGTGGCCTTCCACCCGCTGGGGTGCGGGGTCGCCTGTCAAAAGCGACCTCCGGACCCCTCCCGGGCCCGCCTTCCAGGACCGAGAGAAGGCGGGAGGCTCCGGGAGCCGAATCGCCTCGTTTCAAGTGCCCCGCGCTGGGCAGAGGCGGGATTCGAACTCGGGGCCGGGGCACGCAGGGTCGGAGCGGGCGCCCGGGGAGCTGGGGTCGGGGAGGCGGGAGGCGGGGGGCGTCGGGGGCCGCTCACCGATGGTGGTGATGACGGTGATGGCGAAGTAGAAGGAGCCGGCGAACTTCCACTGGCGGCCGGCGCGGTGCGGCTCGGCCTGGCGCGCCAGGCGCTCCAGCTCGCGGTCGTCCTCGGGCGAGAAGCGGTACTTGCTGCGGAGCTCGCCCCGCTTCTGCGCCAGCAGCCGCTGCCGGCCGCTCTCCGCCTCCGACTCCAGCGCGTCGAACACGGCGGCGCCCACCAGCAGGTAGGACAGGATGCAGAGGACCAGCGCGGCCGTGCGCACGCTCTGCTTCCTCATGGTCCCGCGCCGGGCCCCGCGCGCGCTCCGTGCGCCCCGGCCCCGTGCCCCGTCCTGCGCCCGCTCCGTGTGCCCCTGCTCCGCGTCCCGGCCCGCACCCAACCCCGCGCCGGACACCACGCCCGGCCCCGCGCCCCAGCCCCGCGCCCAATCCCGCGCCGGACCCCGTGCCCGGCCCCGCGCCCAGCCCCGCGCCCGCTCCTTGCGTCCCGGCCCAGCTCCCCAACCCCGCGCCGGACCCCGCACCCGCTCCCTGCGCTCCCGCCCCGCGCCCCAGCCCCGCGCCCAATCCCGCACCGGACCCTGCGCCCGCTCCGTGCTCCCCGACGGCCGTCTCCGCGCGCGCTCAGCCCAGACACGCCCCGCGCCCCGCGTCCCGCGCCCGGCCCCGCGCGCCCTCCGTGCACCCCGACGGTCTCCCCGGAGCGCGCGCCCGCGGCTGGAGGTGGGGCCTCGGCCAAGCCCCCGCCGCGCCCCGCCCACACCCCTGCCTCTGTTTACCCTGGGCGCTCGGCTAATGAGTGCGCACTTGGACAAGTGGGACCAAGCACCCGCAGCGGGCTCCGCGGGAGTCCTGTGACCTTGGACACCGCTCGCTCTTTCATTTCTTTCGCGTGACCGTCACCCGCCTAATATTCACCCTGCGTCAACGGGTGCTCCCTCTCCCCGGTGTAAAGGCGGCTGGCGTCGGGTAGGAGGCTGAAGCCAGGGTCACACAGGCCAGGAGAGGGGGAGAAAGGGGTGCAAACGGATCCGTACCCAGGGGAGGTGGTGGGCGCTGCGGCACGTGGGAGGGCGGGGAGGGAAGCCCCCCAGCAGTGCCAGGGAGAGCTTCCGGGTGCAAGTGCCAGCCTTGAAGCAGAGATGCCTGAGTGGCAGGAGCCTTGTGAATTGGTGCTGGGGTGCAGGGGGGCCGAGGAGGGTGAACTGGCTGGGGAACAGGGAGGCAGGGACACACGGGCTACAGCGACCTGCAGGTTGAAGGAAGAGCAGTGGCTGCTGAGTTAAAAGTTAAAAGGGGGCGGGCTGGAGTGGCCCCGTGAATGGGGCCACTGAATGGAGACCCCTGAATGTGAGCCAATGAACAGAGGCCATTGAATGGGAGCCATCTAATAGAGGCCACTGAATGGAGGCCACTGAATGGGGGGGCAATGAATTGGGGTCACTGAATGGGGGTTCACTGAATGAGGGCCACTGAATGGGAGCCCCTGAATGGAGGCCACTGAACAGGGGTTACAAATGGAGGCCACTGAATGGAGACCACTGAATGGGGGTCACTGAATGGGGGGTCACTGAATGGGGGTCACTAAACAGGGATTACTGAATGAAGGCCACTGAATTTGAGCCAATGAATAGAGCCCACTGAATGGGAGCCATTGAATAGAGGCCACTGAATGGAGACCACTGAATGGTGGCCACTTTGGAGCTCACTGTCCGGGTTTGGTTGGAGACAGGTCAGAACTGAGCTAAGTCAGGAGCTGGCGCTGCGGAGAGGCAGGTGCCGCCGTGGGCAGGTTCCAGGTGCCACCGTGGGCAGGCTCCCTCCCTCACAGAAGTGTTCGTGACTGGGTGGTATCCTGTGGCGTGTGGGTGTGGTCATTGCTGCTGGGTACTCAGGTCTGACACTGGGGCCTCCCTGCTCTCCATTTCTGTGACCAGCGCCTTTGAGATGGGGACTCCACCCACCGGGGCTGCTGATAAGTTCGATGTGGAGGGCTCAGAGGACTAGAGGACCCGGGCCTTTGCCTGAGGTGCTGGGATTTGTGGGAGCGCTTTGTTGAGGTCACTGTCCTGCGTCCACACCTGCTCCCCAGCACCCACCGAGACTGGCTGGGCATATGGTTTCGGCTCTGCAGCTGTGCGCGGTGCCTGCATCCAGCTCTCTGCTGCACCGCATGTCCCCCACTGCTGCTCCAGCCTGTCCCTGCAGCCCCAGCTGTCTGCTCCTGTCACACCCTGCTGTCAGCCCCTCGCACAGACTCTTGCTGCACCTGGAACATTCTCTCCCGAGTTTCTGGGCCAACTGCTCAGGCCAGACTGAATTTCTGTCCCTGACCGCTGCCAGGCTCACCTGGGAAACTCTGAACTCAGCTGAGCTGGGGTCTCCTTTCCTCACTCCTCCTAGGGTGCTTCTCTGCCCCTGTCACACACACACACACACACACACACACACACACACACACACACACACACTGCACTGTAATTCTGAAGTTCTAGAACCAAGTGTCCTCCCCTGGATCCCATCTTGGTCACCTCTCTGTCCCCAGCGCCAGGTTCTGGCACAAAGCACACCCCACTGGGGCTGGAGCGATAGCACAGTCAGTAGGGCGTTTGCCTTGCACGCGGCCGACCTGGGTTCGATTCCCAGCATCTCATAGGGTTGGTCCCCTGAGCACTGCCAGGAGTGATTTCCTGAGTGCAGAACCAGGAGGAACCCTTGCGCATCACTGGGTATGACCCCAAAAAAGGCAAAAATAAATAAATAAAAGCACACTCCTCTGACCTTGAACAATGAGCAGCTTCATGTGGAAGTTAAGAATATGGGCTTTGGGTGCAGGAAGGTGGGTGTGGGGTCAGGAAGATGGTTCAGGGGCCAGGAGACAGCTCTAGCTAGATCCTTGATGCCTCAGCCTCCACCCCCAGCACTTCCGGGTGTAGTCTTGGAGGCCCTGGACACCAAGTGTGTGTGCAGGGAGCAGTGGGGGGTGCCCAAGAGCACAGCATTGCCCAGCTCGAGCACTGAACCATGCAACCCAACTGACAACTGACCGAGTAAGGGCCCAGAGAGACAGGACCGTGGGTAGGTCATTTGCCTTGCATGTGGCTGACCCAGTCGATCCGTGGCACCCCATATAGTCCCCTAAGCCCCACCAGGAGTCATCCCTGAGCACAGAGCCAGGAGTAAACCAGGTGTGACCCCCCCCAAACAAAAACCAACTGACCAAGTATATCCAGGATTGGTGCCACGCCCCCCGAACACTGCTGGGGAGCCCCCCCCCCCAGGACATGGACCTGCCTCCTAGACCTCCCCTGACTGTTTTGTTGCTTCTCAATGGTGAGAAGTGGGATGCGCCCCCCCAACACCCCCACTGTCAAATGAACCAGTCCCACCCTCGGAAAAGGCTGGCCAGGCAGGGATACCCGTGTCACATTCCTGGAGCACGTGGCTGGTTTGGGGGATAAAGGAGAATGAAGGATGTGGATGGAGTTAAACTCACTGACTCTGAGTGGGGCATGTCCCCTGGGGATGAGAGTGGGCCTCTGTCCCGACACAGACCCCTGAAGCCGAGGGGACAGGAAGCTGCCTAGATGTGGTGAGGTCTTGGCCGGGCACTGCTGCCTCTGAGGGTGCAGAAAGGGGCTGCCAGGGACTGCAGGTGACCTCGAGGCTTTGTCAGAGCAAGGAAGCAGGGGCGAGAGAGAGGCGGATGGGCAGGACCCTCATCCTGCACAGGTTCAATCCCCGGTACCCCATCAGAGCCAGGCGTAAGCCCCAAGCACCACTGGCTGTGGCCCCAAAACCAACCAAGCAAACAAAAAGACCAAAGAAAGAACAAGGAAGAAAATTTCTCCTTCAAATGCCCAGAAAGGGGGTCCATGTCCTTCCCAGTGTGCATTTCCCCCACCCCCAACTCCATCGCCCAAAAGAGAGTGTCTTATTTTTTTCTATTTGGGCCACACCTGGCGATGCTCAGGGGTTACTCCTGGCTCTGCACTCAGAAATTACTCCTGGCGGTGCTGAGGGACCCTATGGGATGCTGGGACTCGAACTTGGGTTGACTATGTGCAAGGCAAACGCCCTACCAGCTGTGCTATCGCTCCAGCCCCATTATTATTATTATTATTATTATTATTATTATTATTATTTTAAACTTTATTCCTTCCTTAGAGGGTTTATATTTATTTATTTATTTATTTATTTTTGCTTTGCTCTGTGGGTCACACCTGGCCCAGGGGTTACTCCTAGCTCATGCACTCAGAAATGACTCCTGGCACTGGCAGTGCTCAGGAAACCATATGGGATGCTGGGAATCGAACCCCAGGTCAGCCGCGTGCAAGACAAATGCCCTCCCCACTGTGCTATTGCTCCAGCCCCAAGAGTGTCTTGCGGTGCTGACAGCGCCCAAGAGGATACTTTGTTACGGTGGCAGCCAGCCCGAGGAGAGGTGCTGATGGTGGCCCCCTGGGCAGTGTCCCACAAGCCACATGGGGAAGTGTCAGCCATGCACCTGACAGTGGAGGCCGGTCTCAGCCAGGCCTGCCTCACTCCAGGCCCTGCGGGATGCAGGGGACCTCGGGGCCTCTTCCCCGGAGAAGCCAGGCTGTGGCTCGTCGTGGCCCAGAAGCAGGGCGCTGCCTCATCCTTATTTTTAGCAGTGCCAGCAGCCAGCCCGGGTCCCTGGATCCTGCCCGGCCTCCAGAGGAGCAGAAACCTGGGTGAAAGTCGGGGGGACGGGGGGAGGGCAGGGAGCAGGGCCTGGGAGAGGGAGAGGGGGGCCTTGTTCAAAGGACAGCAACAGGATCAGGGCTGGGGGACAGCAAGGCCTGGGTTCCCATTCCCAACTCCTCCACGGCCATGCCACGCCTGTCCTCAGTTTTCCCGCGGGAGAAATGGGGGCAAGAAGGAAATCTACACCACATGGGGCCCTGTGGAGGCTGACAGAGGGGTGGTCACTGCACGGCCTGGCCACGGCTTTCCTCCCTCTTTACAACTGGTGGCCAGATCTCTGCTTCCCAATGCCGGAGCAAAGCTCAAGGCTGTGTGTCCGTCCTGGTTGGGGTCCTTCCAGGACAGGCCCATGGGGACAAGGCTCCCAGCAGTGGGGGGCCTGGGGGCAGGGGGCTTGTTTGGAGCCCCCCCATAGCTTTCTCCAACTAACTTTTGCCGCCTCTCATCCCCAAAGCCTCCGGGACCTCGTTTTCCTCGTCTGCAGGAAGGGGCTGGGCTGGCCGGCAGCTGCCCATCGTTGCGAGGGCTCAGCTGGGACCCGCTCTGACAGATGAG